TTATGTTATTGAATCAGAGTTATAAGCTCTTCATCTAGTCCTTCCAAAAATGCTGAATTTAGCAAGGAGTCATTTTGATGATCCTTAAAACTGTCTGGAGACAGGCCTCAGTGTCAATGGGATGTTTTTGTTTTTTGTTTTCTAAATGTTTAAAGAACTCGAGTGCTGGCTCACCGGGCTTCCCCTTACTCTGCTCTTGTGGTCCAGTCCTTTCTCAGGGGTATGGTTGGTAAAGCCGGTGGGCTAATTCCATGCATTTTCCTGGCCTGCCTCTCTTTGTTCCCAGACAACCTTATTTGTGCATTCGGTTGCTCGCCTCTCAGAAAACAGTAGGCATGTAGTTGGAATAGGTGAGAATAGCCAGGATCCTATGTTCTGTTAAACCAAATTCCACCGGGGTCCTGGAGGGGTTCAGAGAGATCATCAGATTCCTGAATTCTGTTCTAGTCCCAGGAATGAACCCAGCCAGGCGCTGGTTCCCTTCTGCCCGAGATGAGCTTTTCTCCAAAGGGAGCTGCCAGAATTTCTGTGTGGGGGGGTGTCGGTGCCTGTGTTTCCCTAGTCTACCCTGGTCTGCTATTTTATTCTGAGTGTCCCCCGGGTGAGTAGCAGCTGCGGCCGAGGAGGCCAAGGCAGTAAAGGGTTCGGCAGGGCAGCTGGGGAAGTGGGAAAATGGGGCTTTGAAACCTTCCTCAGTTCAGAGACAGTCTCTAAAATTTCCTTATTAGCTTCCTGGAGGGTAGAAAGTCTCTGTGCTGTTTAATGGCTTCTATTTGCCAACTGAGATAAGCATCCTACTCATTCAGTTCGACTTTAGAGCTGTGCCTTGCCCCCCCACTCCATGGTGCATGTCCAAAAAAAAAAAAAAATAGGTGCCTGGCTGGTGTGGCTCAGAGGTTGAGCATCGAACTGTGATCCAGGAGATCGAGGTTCGCTTCCCAGTCAGGACACATGCCCAGGTTGCGGGCTTGATCCCCAATTGAGGGCATGCAGGAGGCAGCCGATCAATGACTCTCATCATTGATGTTTCTCTCTCTCCCTCTCTCCCTTCCTCTCTCTGAAATCAATAAAAATAAAAAAATAAAAAACATTGGAAAAAAAAAAAGGTGTCCAAAGAACTCCATTTAAGGCATCTTAAGTTATCACTTCTAGTTAAATCTTCCCATTTCTGTAAGTGCTTGCAGATAAAAGCTCCCTATGAATTGTATATCTGCAGGAATATCGTGGGGGCCGGGGGCTGGGGCTTTTCGGCCTTGGGGGCATCGCTTCCCAAACGAATTTTAGTTTTCTTTTGAAATTTTTAGAATATGAATAAATTTGTAGGGATATTGTGTAGTGGGTTGAAGTGTGACGCTTATGGGTTGAACCTCAAGGGGCTGTCACTTCCTGAGTCACTCCAACCCTCTGACGTGTCTAATACAATGTTAGGATTCAGAGCACGAGGTAATCAGCTTTATGTGCGTGTCCCTGGACGAGGCAATTAATTATAGTTGTGTTGAAATTCCTTATGGGGCCCTGCTTGTTTTGAGGGATACCCTCAAACACCTCCACATAGATTCCTAGTCACCTAAAAATGAGAACTGAAGGGAGGAAATGGCCCTCATCTTTGGAGCCAAACAAGTTCAAACTCTTACTTGTCCAGCAAAAGGTTTTGTTCAGACTTGCAGTGTGTATTTTCCAATTAAATAGCCAAAATTAAAAGCCTGCCACCCATTTTTCTCCCATCCTTGAGTTATCTCAGCCTTGAACCTTTAATGCCACCTCGAGCATTGTTTTTTTAAGAACGCCCCAAATAAAGTCAAGGCCTCCTACCTCCAAACCAGAAGGTCCAGAAAGCCAAGAAAAACTCATCCAAGTGCACTGAATGCAAATCAGGAAGCGGGAAGGGCACCACAGGCCCCTGCTGGTACCTAGCACTGCGTCCCAGTCCACAGGGTGGCCGTGGGCGGGATTCTTTGGAATCCTACCTACTATGTCTAGTAAATGTCAAGGTAAAAAAAGTCCAGCCACGGAAAAAGCCTTATGAGAGTTTATTTGAGCCAAACTGATGACAATTACCTGGAAGCAAAATCTCAATGATTTGAGAAAACGCTCCGGAGAATGGTAGTTTGTAGCTTATTTTATTCACTAGAATCAAAGGAGGAGACATAAGGAGGGTTACATGAAATCCACTGGGGGTAGATTAAGGAGGTGGAAGAAAGCCAAGGGGAAGTTTCTGGGATTAGATAAAAAGTAAAACAGACACACACCTCTTTTACATTGGTGGGTACCGGACAGTTAATGAACACTTACAGCTGCATAGAGATGGTATTTGGGAAGCAAGGTATCAACGAGGCTTCTGTGGTCTGCGCAGGTAGATGTGCCCTGCGGGGTCTGGGAAAGGAGATCACTCTGACAGTTCTAAGGTGTATTGTCTTTGAGGCAAACGGACAATAGAAAAAAGACAACAGACTTAAGGTAAAGATTGACCTTTATCAATGAAGATTCAGGCCTAGGATGTGACTACCCACCATGACCCACTTTTAGTTGGGAATTTTTATGTTCAGACCATCCTATGTGGTACTTTTGGTCTCTGAGTTTGTAAGGCCCACCATGCAGGCCTCCAATGAGCTGTCAAGTGTAGTATGCCCCGTTTTTGTCCACAGGGGCAAATGATGTAAAAGTCCAAAACTGAGCTGAGGGAGTCACATGTAAGGCAATAGAGAATGGTGGGGATTGTGGCAAACCAAAGTACTTGCCTCACCTAAAGGGAGCAGCCGTTATTTAGCTTTACCTAGTTGCTGCCATGTAGAAATTGGCACTCAGGGTTGCCAGAGCTTTGGGAATTTCTAAAATAAAACCAGAAAGTCAGAATTTTACATAAAGTATCCCAAGTTTCAAAATGCTGTTCAGGTTGGATTTAGCCCACAGGCCACGAGTTTGAAAGTCCTGCTTTAGTGAGACAACTTTTTCCATTTTCACTCCCAGCTCTGGCCTCTCCAACTGGCTCTCTGATTCTCCCCAGAGGCCATAGGCATGAGTCAAAAGGGGCCCAGCCAAGAGGCAACCCCCCTCCCCACTGACCTCAAACTCACCCTCTCCCAAAACCAAAGGCTTCACCCTGGGTCAGGCTGATGGGCCCAGCTCTCTCCTGCAGGGCAAAGTCCTTCCCAAGGACCTCCTTTCAGACTGACTTCTGGCTGGCCAGCAGCACTTGCCTGCCAGACAAGCCTGCACTGGTCTTAAACCCATTGAGATCCAAGCTGCAGAGGCTTTCTTGGTTTTTAAGATAAAGACCAGACTCATCACCACGACCC